AAAATATTTTAGGGATAAATTCTCTGATTGAGATACATTCTTTCAGACATAATGTGGGCAAAATTTAAGATTTTGAATTGAGGACAACGTTATTCTATTATGCATTTTAGGCTTGGCGCTCTGACTGAAATTTTTTCCGGAATACGGAATAAAAGCAGAAACGCGTTTTTACCGTATTAGTTCATTTTTCATCTAACGCAAAGGGGTATGAAAAAAAATTTTCTAGCGCTTTATGGCGGTTCCGCTTAAGAAACACAAAAGAAGTAGAAAACATCATTTAAATACCAATTTGAATTGATAGTGGCTTTTTGCGAAGGCCCATTTTTGATTAGGCCTATAAAAGTCACGTTTTGTTCCTTGAACGTGAACGCTAAAGCACTAGTGAACGTGAGCTTCTTTTATATGAACGATGTTCATGTTGTCTGAAGGAAATATAAAATTCTGTTCTGGTATTCTAGTAAGAACATTTATATTTCTGCCTGGCCTTATCTGATCAACAGAACCTCTAGTGAATGATCAGATGGTCAGTGTCACTGACCATCTGATCCCAACCTGTCACTGACTCAGTGACCAGGTTATTGCAATGTAAAAAGGATAGCTATTGATTCATCCAAGAACAGATAACCGATTTCCTGACCATGAGACAAGTTTTTTCTGCAGTGGAACCGAAGTTCCTTAGTCCAAACCATTTCCGTAACTATTATCCATTTCAGAATAGAATGTCAGCGGTTGTTTTTTGAATAACTTTCGAGCGAAAAGAGCTAGAGAATTTGGGTTCCCACTTTTTTCTAGGAAAATCTTTGCTCTATCTTATGATCCATAGGTTGAAAATCTCGGATTTTCAGGTGGTGTACCTGACATATGAAGAAGAGGTTACCAGATATCGAAGCCAAAATAACTTTTTCACTCAAAGTACATGGTTGAATAGCTCAAAGTGTCCTCTACAAAACTACGCAACTCCGAGGTTGCTACCTATCAGCCTTTCGGATCTACGGCAATTTTGCTGGGACCTACCTGTCTCAGTCCAATTAGGTCTGACAATTTTAGAACCATCTCCAAAGTTTAGAACCAGTATACTACAGATAAAATAGAGTATATGTTGATGTTCTGAAGTAGTTTGGATGATTTTTGACCGAGGCGCCAAAGTTTTTATGAGAAAATGTAAAATCTTCACTACAGGAAACAGGACAAAAACAAAAAATTCTCGAAAAGCACAAATTGCGAACACTTTGTGGAAAAAACTAGATGGAACGCATTTTGCAGAATTTGTCCGCAAAATGCGGTCCATCTGGCAACTCTGATCCCATCACAGTACTCGTAAAATTTCCTTGACTTTAGTTGATCTATATGGGATGAAGCTGGCTAAATGTGTGACGAAATTTTAGCGATGTAAGAACTGTCAATCTACCATAAATAGTTAGGCTATGGGAATCACAGTGCGCTTTGAATTTATTTCTCGTAAAATGATCTAAGTTGCGTGATCTGATTTTGGAATGTTAAAATGTCATACAAAAATGAATATGAGAGTGAATGCCAAACAAATTTCATATAAACTTCAGAGTTAAGTAGTTGTCTTTCAGGTATGTACATGACGAATCGTACAGTAAACGAACCGAGCTTAACATCTGAGCAGCCGTATCCGAAGCATTTGACAAAGATGTCCCAGTAGTTGGTTGTGTTGCCTAAGACAAATACAAAGTCGGCATCAAGTCGGGTATATCCAAGTTTCTGGTTGATATTCCAGATAACTACACAAACGGACTATCTGCATGTGTTCTTGATGCTTGACATAGTTGTCCTATTAATAGAAAATATGACCAACGAATGAAAACTAACAAATCGCTTAATCGACAATATCTCGCCGATTGTGACGACATAGGGAGACCTTTACCGTATTAACGCTAGAAATTGTGCTGACTTCGCTCAACAGCATTCACTACAGATTCCACTAGTTTCTTCAAAAAGCAGGGAAGAAAAGTGCTACCGATTGTCCATAGCAAGAAAATTGCTACTGATGATATGACTATTCATAAGAGAGACAAGGACGAACAATGTTCAAGGTCGTTATCGGTTTGGTGTGCTAAAAAGATCCAAACCAGATATCCACAAGCTTATCTCGTGTTAAACAAATAAAAGATGTGTAATACTCGTTCAGAGCAATACTGACCGGTAAGTAATTGCACAAACTCAGTCCTTGTACATGATATATCACAGAGCATCAAAGTTTATTTTTGTAGTTTTCTGCAAAAGTAAAATTTGTTCGGTTTTGCCTGTTATCTGTACAAGGATTGTATTTGTGTGTTACGTTCTGCTGCAGATTCACACATGTGAAACTTATATACTCAAAGTACATTATAAACACTACTAAAGTCAGTCACAATAAGTGTAATTTTTCTTCAGATAATCGCGGTCATCAATGCATTTTTAGCTTGAAAGATACTGGCAGTTGCAATTGTTTGAAAAAAATCATCGGACACTTACTTTGTTCGCTAAAGTCAAGGAAACAAGCGAATCGTAGATGAGCGTTACTTATTACTGTATATGGAAAAACACAAGATGAACACGAATAGAGACTCAAATACAAGAACTTAGTTTTGCTGTAAAAGTGTAAAGTAAATTAACTGCTTCTATCCTGTATGCTGTATAATATCAGTGTTTGGAACAATCATAGTTCAGTCATTTCACGAAATAATCTATGTCAATAACCCATCTTTTCAAAGTAGTTCATAATATTTTTAATCTTTCTTCGTTTGTCACTGTTGTCATCGAAACATCATTTTTCTTTTCTCTATATTTATCAATTTACTAACAAAGTCCCAATAAATGAATGCTCCAAGAGAGAAAAACTTACCACATTGCTTTTCTTGTTAACCGAGATAGAGCTCTTCCATAACTTCATTTTCCTAATATTATTTTATTCGCTTTTGGAATAACACAGCAATGCGTATACATACATTTACAAATTTTTGGTTAATCTATTTACTTTCGTAAATATCGTTTATCAACTAATATCGTAATACATAAACTGTTGAACTCGAATAAAAATAGTAGTGAACAACACATTCTCATACAGAAAGTGGTTGCTAGCAGCAGTACAAACACAAATAAATTATACATTTGAAATTGTAAAACAAAAAATACCACAATAAAATATACAAAATTACGAATATCGACTACTAACAATAATAAAAGAAGAAAACATAAAATACATACTAGAAAAAAAATGGAATGTATTTTAAAACTGGAGACAAAAACAGTTCTCTGTATACAGACTTAAAACATTGCAAAAAAACGAAAGTACGTAAAGACTGACTTATGGCATCTATATTACTACGAATCGTTGTTTGTCAGTAGAGAAAACATTTGTAATAGCAATCGCAGAGTACAAACAGAAAAAGGGTAGCACCACAAGTATTATCGATGAATGTCATCACAATGCAGGGACATACAAAATATAAGAAGAAAGAAATATACAAAACATCTGAGAAAAAATCTATCTGCACACAAAACTAAAGTCAATTTTTCTAATGATTTTCATATGTCGGTTTCTAATGGGGGTGGTTTTGCTTCGTCATTTGTTGCTCCTATTGTTTCATACATTTGAGTACTTTGTGTTTGTGTTTGAAGAGGAAGAAAATAGTTGATACGATGACGCTGTACAAAACTCATTAACATTGGTTCACGATTAATTATGGTGTTGTCATTATTTAATAAAGGAGATTTACTACCATGACTAATCATCGTCGGAGTTGGTGTTGTTGATAAACGTTGACTATAATAATAATCATTTGGTATTGCCGATGAACAAGTGAGCTGTTTATCAATAACTTCAATGTAATCATCTTTCTCTTTTATTTCACGTTTTTTCGAGCGTCGATTAATAACGGGAGGAGCTGGTGGCAGAGGAGGTGGTGAAAGAGTAGAATTTCTATAATAACGATGATGATTGCGATGAAGAGAGGCGGGTACATTTTCTGAACTATGTATTGGTGAATATAAACTTTTTTCACTTGAATGATCAACGAGACCACGTTGTGAACTGGAATCATAATTTGTTTCACTCATAGCTGGTGTCGATGTGCCTGGCGATTTTGATGGACTATATTGTTGTTGATGATGATTTAACCGTAATAATGAAAAATCATGCGTCTGAGATGTTGGCAATATTTTAGCATTAATTTCGTGATCCGAAGAATCTGTCAGACTACTTAAACGACTCAATAAACGACTACTACTATTATCGGATGATGTTATTACTGAAGAATTTAATAATAATTTTTGTTTTGTTGAACTATTTGCAGTTATTGTTGATGCTGTCATTGTTGACAATGTGCCACTTTTTGTTAATATTGACGATGGAAGCGATGATGTTATTCCATTTAATGAGTCTTTACTTACTTCGTGTTTAATACTTCGACGTAGTGAATTTTGTCGATTAAAAAAATCTTTTTTACGCTGTGTTGATTTACAGTACCAACAACAAATGCACGAGAATATAATTATCAACAATCCCAAAAGACACATAAGAGCTATTAATAATTCGCCACGAATAAGGAAACGGGGATGTTCAAATAAATGTTCTACAAAACAAATAACATAAGATCTCTCATTAGTGATACTGTGTCTACTAAAATATACCTTTCTCACAAATGAATGCTGCTAATGAATCACAGCTAACATCATTGACTTGCATATCATCAAATGTATTGCAAACATTATTTTCATCTGAAATGTCTTTTTCAAGCCATACACCTAATGGTGGTGCTTCACTGTTCGAATCGTATTGACTTGATTTCCACAAAGCCCGTAATAAGGTAAGACGACCTTGAATACCACGACGTGCTAATCGTCCATTCAAAAAACTGCATAGTTCATCGGCCATCTGATATGTGGTTACGCTTCCAAAATAAAAATAACACAAATTTTCATGTAACGACCAACCCGATTCACATTTTCCTGAAATTAGAAGAGAGACATATAAAAAAATCTCTAAACATAGAGAGAAACTATTTTAGTCTTTACCTTGTCTAAGAGCATCCGGATCCAAATAAGGTGGAAAATAATTGACTTCTAATAACAATTTATCATTGTGTTTATCGTAAATTCTTGCACTAATATCTTTTTCATTCATTTTACCCCAGTAGTTCATTGATGCATTTACTTGTGACGTTGTTAATATTTCATCGCTAAAGAAAATCACATTACCGTATGCAAAAACAAATTTTTCTAATATACAAAAAGCTTACGGTAATTTCAATTTTGTTAACATTTCATATCGACTATCCCAGTTTTCAAATGTATTAAACATATACAACTGTCTTGGATTACTAGCAACAACAACTGCTCCCAATCTAATTTATAAAAAAAGAAAAAAATGAATAAATCCTTTTCAGTTATAGTATCAATATCAATTTTACCTATCCAAAAATGGTTTATTTAATTCTCCAACTGCTTTATTTTTCTTAAATGTATTCATCTGCATAGCTGGATAGGGTGCTGCTATTTTATCAAAACCAAGCATTGAAATAATATTTGTACCCGTATTATTAAAAACTTGATTTCGACTAAAAATATAGTTTGACATTTATATAAATTACATTCTTATTCCAACACTACCTACCTAAAATTGGCTACAACCGCTTCAAAATTGACAAGATTACGATCATATGCATCATTATTTATCAGTGCATTTCTCAATACGTATAAATTACAGTAAGCAGATAGTTGAACACCATTTAAAACCAGTAATGAATCGTTTCTTCAAAAAGAAATTACAATAGAAAAAAATAGATCATTAACATGTTAAGAAATATATTCATACTTGTTCTTGTAAAATACATTATTAAATAAGTAACCGTTGAAAATTGATGATGATGAATGACTGTGACATTGTACACATGTTCCACCTAAATTTTGACTTAACCAATTATTTCCAAAATAAAATCGTTGAGAATTTTGAAATAAAAATTGATTTATAGATAATGATGATGAATTATAACGATAATATCCATTGGACATAATTGTATTACGTTGAAAATAAAAATCAGCCGATCGTTCACCAGATGATAAATAATTTAGTACACCATGTTGATTTCCAATAAATGCATTGTCTGCAATTTTATGAATAATCTCTTTTGTAGCTGAAATGAATGTACAAATGAAAAAATTATAGAATATGTATTAGGATTGCTTACAGAATGGTGAAACAGGCAATGTCATTATTTCAGCTATAAAACCATTGATTTGACGGCCGTTCGATGCATAAATGGTCAACCTTAAACATCCAGTTTCAATTGAATACGATTTGGTCCATTTATTATTACTTCCATTTGTTAAATAAGCTTTTAATTCATTCACTTCATTACCATTCGCATCGGTTGTAACACGATGTATTTCAATCCAATCATTTTGATAACTACTATTGATAAGATTCGCCTAAACAAACAATATAAATAATTTGATAAGAAAATAATAATTTTTCAATTGATTATTGATCTCCTACCTGAATGAAACGTAATGCAATTTGATAAGATGGTGATTTTGTACAAAATAATTTTGAACACGTTCTATATTGATAATCATAATTGAAATATGTAACAAGTCGATATTTAACATTAACAATACGATGTGCATTACACAAATGTAACAGACTAAAAGGTTTTGTTCTTGAACAACTTGTTAATGTTTGATCATATAATAGATCAAAATCAGAATCGGTGGTAGTCGATTGTCCATGATAAACAAGTCCATTAATGGCTTTATTTAAACTATTTGTTATTCGACTATAGCTAAATAATAATGAACGTTTTGGTAAGATGAATTCATAACCATGAGAACGTGAATGTTCAATATGTGAATGTTCAATAGCTGGTGTACGATAGACTGTTTGTATAACAGGTTGTTCACAATTATGTGTCAGACCATCATATCGATAGCCACCTTCAGATAATAAAACATAATTCAATACAGATGGTTCTGGTGATGTATAATCAAAATTTGATAAATCTTCTTCGTATTCACCATTTGCAAATTGGATACCAGACCACGCTTGTGGATTTTCATAGGTGGATATTGAATATGGTTGTGGTATGCCGAAATTTAAACGTGTATAATCGTTCATCACAAATTGTCGATTGTTTTGTTCATAGTAAACATTTGTCTCATAACAACCAATATAAAATAAATGTTGTTGACATGATGTATCATTTAATTTATAAGAAACTAATGTATCATAAGAGCATGATGATAGAGTTGATTCGGAACCAGTGCAATCAATTAACTCATGCCAAATAGGTAATTGTTGATTATCATATAAATAAAATTTTTCCTCATAAACAAACACATTCTTCCATGGTAAATTTAATTGATAACATATTAAACGAAATGATTGTTTTGATTTAAATGTATCATAACATGCATAAGACCAATCACGTGTTGTACGATTGTAAATTTGCAAAAAACCTTCGTTCAACGAACGACCCACATCAAGACGTAATTTTAAACGTTCAAAACGAATATTCTAGAATAAATGAACTCTTTTAGTCTCTATTTTCAAAATAATATGTCGTCATGAGTATCCTGATGAGTTTATCCTACCTCTTTCAAATGATATGGTATCTTTAGTGTATCGTCGATAAAATGGTAACGATATGGATTATGTCCATTCATAATTTGTTCATAAATAAATGTTTTATTGGCTAAACGCATTACAATTGGTTCTCTAGCTGTGCCAACTGCATTCAACTGTCCAAGCACAAGTATGCCCGTATTTGGTGCAAAATGTAATTGAATACCAGGTGATAATGTTAATGTTACACCAGGCAAAATAATTATATCACCATTAATAAGATAAGGTTGTTTTCGTTTATGTAATATTGTACTGGCATAAATAATTCCTCTAATCGGTTTGTTTGTATGAAATATGCCGTTTGTTTTATCGATAGGTAATTTGATACTTGAACATGTTGGTTCTCGACATGCTAAAAATGGATTCCAAACTGTTAGTGAATGATCAGCTCGTTCTGAAAAATCTAGAATACGATTTTGTATAGCTTGATAAACATCGGAACCCCACCAATTTAAAGTAATATCAATTGTTGTATTTAAACTATCTGTTAGAAGACCGGCTATGAACTCATAATTATAATTCATATTTTCAAACACATTACGTTGTATTGTGATATTTTTTGAACCAGATAAATGAAGACAAGAGGTAACCAACGGTGAATTTAATTGAAATGGTCCATTATCAAAAAATGTATTATAGACGATCATTGATATGGCTAATAGATCATTATGAAATGGAGCATGACCAGTTGAATCAATGTATAGTAGACTATTTGCTCGATTCTTGGTAAAAATATTATCTTGAATAATTGTATCTTTTTCAATATCGTTATATTCAATTAATTTGTCTTGTGCTATGTTTGCTTCAAATAATGAACGGGTTATATTTACAAATGAATGATAACCAGCAAGTTTAATTAGAAAACCCTCATTAAGTACATATCGATTGCGATATAAGCGTATACCGTGTGATATGAGAGAATAAATAGATGGCGCACGAGTATAGATTGACGTTGATGATAAATAGGGCCATGTGGATAGTGATGCAAAAGATGTACGATTAAAGGTAAACAATCTTGGTAACGTAATGTTCATTAATGGACCATAATTTTTTGTGAAATTTGTATGTGAAACTTCTAAGCGTAATAAACGATCGGTGTAAATTAATGGATGAGCATCAATGGTGAGAACTGAAATAAAATACAAAAAATAGTAGTAAATTATTTCTATTTTGAACCATAGGATGACTATTATAATTCAGATGTCTAGTTCGATTAAGGTACCTGGAAGCAAATTCGATCTCAAGTTAAATTGTACTTTCTTAAATAAGAATGTTTAAGGTATTAGAAAAAAAATATTTAAATAGCTGTTTATTATGAATCGAGGACATGGCAAGTATTCATTATTTCTATCAAAATGAAACAGCACACTATCTAGTCAAGTTCGTTTACCTTTAGCATTACTATAAAATGTCGAATAATCAATTCTACAGGTATATTGTATTGGTACGAACGGTTTACGTTGTTGTTGTTGGAGAGTATGATTCGCTAATAAATGAATATCGTATTCAATTTTATCTGGTGTTCGCCATATTGATTCATGTTGAATTAAAACTGAGCAATTTTTAGCATTGTTAAATACACAATGATCAATATACAATGTTGAATTTTTATATCGTCTTTTTAATTGTACAGTAGTTATTCCTGGACGAATTTGTTTTCTCTCTTCTTGCCGTGGTAAATATATTTCCTCTATTTGTTGTTCAAGTCTATTTCGTTCATTATCTTCTAGTAATTGATCAAGCAATCTTTCAATATCATTTTTGATTAATTTTTTCTGGTAAAGTTGATTTGTTATTTCACGATCATTTAAATAATTGACAATATCATGTTGATTATCTGTAAATAAACATTTATAAAACGTAATAATATTATCTGATGGTTGATTTGTCCATCCATTGATATCATCTTGAAATGTCGGCGCTTGCACACTATAAACAACAAGTGTCAAACGTCCAGAACGATAATAATTTACTTGGTAATGTAATTGAACATTTGCGTATGCCGTTATAATAGGAAACTGATCACGATCACTAGCTAGTGACCATTTTTTATAGTTATTTGTTACTTGTCTAGCACAAACATATTCACAGATGAATAGTTGTTCATCTGTATTAGTTAATGGATTATAATCGATCAACTCGAATACAAGTATAAACGAGGGATCGGTCTGAATAGTCAGAATATTTTTCAATACATTATCAAAAGAATTATAACCACCAAATGTTGTTGTTAAAAATACATATTTATTTCTCTCTAAATAGTAGGATTGAACTGTTAATAAATCGATAACATCGATGTTTTTTTGTTGTTGAATATTTAAACGATATTGTTCAAGTGTATAATAGGAAAATGTTGATTCAATATGTACTGATGAATAAGTATGATGAGAAAAATTACAATATGTTATGTTTAAAAAATTTGTATGCAAATATAAACCAATATAAGAATTTTGAATAAATTCAGAATAATACAAATAAGATTTACTGTATGGATGAATAATATGTGTTTCCAAACCAATAATGTTTCGTGAAAATGTTAAATTTGATAGATAATTTTGCGCATTATTTAAATCAATTTCTAACGCACTATGTACTTCATCCAAATGATAATCATACTGACCAGCCGAATCAAAATGAACGTATTCTAACGAACATTTACTATAAGACGGAGCGATATGAACACCTAGAATAGAAAGAGAAAAAAGATGAAATAATGTTTTAAAAGATGAACTATTTGTTCAAGAATATCTATTAAATTTTATTTGTCATACTCGGGAACTATACGGATAACAATGTGTTTTAATCCTTACCTGCCCACGATGGTGGTAAGCATTTAATCCATACATCTTCTGTATGATCACATGTATGTGCTATTTCTCGTCTACAATCAAATATTGTTTGATCTAAATAATCACAATCAATTTCACTCCACAGTATCGGATCTGTTATAGATGATACAGTTTGATCTAGCAACATCATTGTTCGATTATTATTCAAATAAACATGTTCATTGGGATCGTGTATAAAGCCCAACTGGTTACAAACAATAATTGAATTGATTTGTTTCCAATTTCTATTACATATGGTACCAGAGCCAGTCTGATGTGGTGCAACAACAAATAAACGTCCTTCATAAATTGATGAACCATCAATTAACATTAAAATACCATTTTCACTTGTTGGATAACGATTTTTTAACACATTTTCTTTGATTTGTTGATTAATTAATACCGAGTTACTTGTCTCATTTTCATATAATTCAAATTTTGTTTTTGATCCATCATGACCTTTGACAATCAGTTCACCCATGACAAACATTCCAATACCATTCATAAATTGTAGTTGAGAGTTTTCGATGGTTAAACCAGCACCTGGTTTTATCAATATATCATTATTAACGATGTATTTTCCTGGTGATAATGTATAAAATTTATCCAATACACCGCCAATATAATTAAAATTATTTTCTCGTTGTCGTTGCTCTTGTTGTACATAAAAACTTGTTGATGAAAATCCACAATTGGGTAATTGACATTGCCAGATTTCTGTTGTTAAATTTCGATCACTGCATAAAAATGGATACCAAATTATTTCAGCTAGATTTGAACGATTATGATGATCAAATATTCGAGAACGAATTTTTGGCCAATTTTGAAAACATAATTCTGGTTTTTCATAGTACAATGAATAATAATAGTAGGTTGTTGAAGCTGGTGAAGCATGATAAGCATAATTGGTTTGCGATGATAACAACTGACTTTTGTTTACCAACGGAATCGATAATATTTGATTTTGAGGTAACAAATATTGTACAGGTAACTGCTGTTGTTGTAACAGAGGATCAGGTGGAAAAAAATTTGTTTTTATATCAAATGGTTCTGGTAAATAACTATAAGATATTTGTGACAATTGTGGTGTTTGTATTTGACGACGATACCTCGTCTGTTTTAATGTATTTAATAGCACAGTTTTATTGTCGTCGTACGGTTCGAGAAAACTATCACGTTTCAATGAAACTTGATCTAATGACGATGATGATGAATATCGACGTGATGGTGATTGTTGAGAAATACTGTTGTGTTTTTGAATTACTGCCTGTAAAAGAGAAAAAATTAGTTCAAGAGATTTGGCAAAAGCCGGTTAGTTCTCAAGTAAGATTCTGTTGTGCGTACTTGTAATTGTTGTTGCTTTTGCTGTTGTAATTGATTCGGCGTAAGAGGAAATGGTGTCGTTAATATTAATGGTGGATAAATATTTGTAAAAAAGTTCATATCAGCTTGTATAATAGCATTCGAGTTTGTCAATTGACTAACGATATCAAATCGGCTGAAATTATTCCCAAACACATTTCGCGTAACACGTATGTGACTAGAGGATATTGCTAAAACACCAGACGTTTTTGAACGTGAATTTAGAAAGGAATTATAATGATCAGTTATATTATTGTTCATTAAACGATTGTACATGAATAATATTGTCTGATACGGTGATAGCTCATTTAATCCCAGTGATACAATGGAACTATGGCCACGATTATCAGTAAAATTGTTTAATAATATTCTCAATGTCACATTTCGTAAATACACATCTTTTATCCAATTTGAGTTGTTTCCTATCAAATGTATGCCACCATTCTCGTGTCCAATAACACTATTATTGCATATATCACCTATTATATTCTGTACGGGATCTATGCGTAGCGCAAGACGTTTATTATTTAAGAAGCGATTCCATGTTACATTGAATTGAACGTTGCCCGTTTCATTAGCAAATAACACTGCGACAGGGATAAACGATGGGTATTTGGGATAGGCATCATATGGTGAACTATAAATTGGTGGTAATGGTGTATTAACATCAATATTAGAATAAGCTGGCGAACGAAATTGATTTGAAATAACAATTGGTGGACGCCATTCATGTTGGCAGCTTTCGAAGCGAATAGCATCGTACATGCACCGTTCAAATAATGTACCGTTTATCTGAAATTGTGATGGTCGACATGTCGCACCATGATATAAACCATAAAACATATTTGAACGGACAACAGAACCATTCATATTCGTTATTTGACGATAACTTTGTATTGAATGATGAGTAATATTAGTTAGATGGGTTTTTATCGAACGATCAAGTGTAATATAAACACCATGCTGGTGATTATACGAGAATTCACTGTACAATAACCGACGTTCACCTCCGTTATATTCAATATGAACACCATCCTCACCATTCCCATTAAATTTTGAATGATATGACCATATACTGCCTACAACAATCATAAAGTACAGATACTTAAAAAGAATGAGAAGGTTCAATTCACCTACCTGCTCCTGAATCAATTTCCAATCCATGTCGATTATTTTCGCTGATCGATGTTTGATTCAATTCTACTAAACTACGAAGATTGACTAAACGGACACCATTATTCGAATTATTCATTACACATGTATTCCATAAATGAAGATCAGCGTCACGACCTATTACAAAAGAAACACTAAGCGTTAATGTTTGCTTGTTCTATCTCTAACTGGAATGACATACCATAATCATAAACAGCATAAAGCGTAATTTTATCGCGCGCAACATTTGAACATGTCCCGATGGTCGGATTGCAATAATGACATAAACGCATGAGTATTTCGTTTGAATCAGATGATATACTTTCCAATGTCTGATTATGTTGTAAAAGTGTAATGTTACTTATCAGTGGTGAATAATCAAATGCACCGTTGTACATTTCAACTCGATAATAAGATGCTGGATCGTGCATAACTACAGTTTGAAAATGAATAGTGATACGGGCACGATAGGCACGTGACACAAATTTCTAAATAGAAAAACCAAGTTGCATATCTTGAATGTAGAAGCTAGTAGATCGCAAGATGTACCTGTGAGCAGCATGTTCCTTGCGATAATGATGTATAACGTAAATAACTTGGATATTGAACAATATTCGCTGTTTCACAAAATGATTTATACAATAATGAGGGATCTTCTTCTTGTTCATGTTTTGACCATTCTGTATTGTTTAAAATGTATAATATACCGTCACCACCGTTATTCCGCAGATCAACATTGTTTAACGTAACATTACCATATCGAGTTGTCACCACAATACCATGTCCTAGTGAAGAAAAATCAATTAACACATAAAGAGTAAGTTAAATACGAGATGTACCTCTATTTAATGCCGATAACGAATTTTCGATTAATACTGAACTAATTACATTCGAAAAATTCATTCCATCTGATGCAGAATGTTGCACGGTAACATTGAACAGAATTGGTGAATGATCAAACACAGTTAATGCTGCGTAACGTTCTGGATAGGATTTGATCGTTTCACTTGGGCGCAAACCAGCATGAAGTATATCCACGTACGACAAAATTGATTGTGACAATGGTTGATTGGATAATGTTGTCGCTGAATCTGCTATTTCTGGAATAATCGATTGTTCAATTGGTCTACGACGTTCAAATATAATTCCGCCCCAATTATGAATTGGAGATGGATCGTAAAAACCATCACAAATTAAACGAATATATTGTTTGTTGTCTAAATAAGAGAAAAATGTTGTGCGATTTGCAAACAAAAACAATGAGATCACACATGTGAAACAAGTAGGGAATTCTTCCAAAATTCAGAAAAAGTCATCGAGTTTATTTTTTGGAGAACTGCGTCTATCAGAAACAATAAAAGAGTAAAATGTGTGATTTTTCCAATTTATAAGTTTGGGATGCCATAATGAATTTGTTTTACAATCTGTTCGTAGTAAAAATTTCTAAAAAAATTCTACGTATAGAATTCACTGTGACTTAAACAAACTTTTGTATCGCAGACTGCAGTATTTCAGATGCTTTTTTTTCTCCATGCATTTCATTTCAACAGCATGCAATCATTCATTTCATTTGTAACATGAAGCAAGCAACAAATTAGCATTAAGCAAACATATAAAAAAAATCATATGCAAGCACCGAATAAAAAAATCATTACAAAAAAAGCGGAGTTTGTTTAGCTTTGTGCACAAATTAATTATCTTACTTTGTCTTAGATGCTAAAGATTGATTTCTAAAAAGAAGATTCATTTATTTGCAATAAAATAACATGCTGAAGAGAAGATATTTTCAAGCGATCCAGGACGAGAGTGTTTGTTAATTAGAGGTGGATAAACTTACCACAAACATGAAGACCGATCTGTGGAGAACGAAAACCAACGCAGTTGAGAAGATTGGTTTCATCATGTTTACATGCTGGATAGTCAATAACAACGCCGTACATTGACTGCTGATCGTTTCTATACGATGATACTGTTCCATTACGAAATCCCATCATTCGACATGTTAAGTTCGCATCAAGATCAAACCATCTAGAAAAATAAATGTTAGATTGTGACAGAAAAGAAGGCTGTCGAAACGTACCTATAATACTGTGAACAAATGTATCGCCAACGCTCCTTGTGATATACTTGCAAAAGCCCGTTTTGAACAGATGATCCATCGACTAAGCGAAATTTAACGCCGGATGGTATCTGTTGCTGGTCGTGATAAATGCTATCACTTGAACTTGTAAACGAAATACGGTGATCACTAGTGCCCTAAAAAGAAAACAAACATTCGACTACTGCTAGCTCGAGAACATTTAAAGACATCACTTACCTGTGCAATTAGAGTTCCTCGAACTATCAGCTGAGCACCTCGAGGAAACCGGATTACTGTTCCATTTTCAATTAGTACTGTTGCTCCGAATGGTATTATCGTGTCACCTACGGCATTATACGGGCTCTGCATACGACGTAGTACGACACTTTTCTGCCCGCCAAAATGTGGTAGTAGATTTCCCAAACATTTTTCAGCAAGAATAGAGAATATGACGATTAGAAAAAAATTATGACACTTCAGCCTTTCTCTATTGCCGTAAGTAAAAAGCACCTCCATAAACTGTTTTCATAACTTCGCTAAGATGTATACCAGCATCACAATGTCTACCGAAATTTTAACTAATATTTTTCAAACGAAAATATGCATTAGTTAGTTTATTTTCCATTGTTTTTTCGCTTTATTCTCTTTTGACTGTAGGAATTCATATCTGTCACATTAAGATCTCTAAATCTAACCCTAATGCCTTTAACCACAAACAGTATTAAATTGAACGTTATGTTACTACTCAGAAAAAATGTAGTCCTTTCATTTCTAGAAATTCCTGGTGGAAATTACGTATGTAGATGTCGCTGAAAAGTCGTTGTCGTATACGAAATGTCGAAGCTTCATGCTTCAACATACCTGAACTGTCATTCACGTTGAGTGTCATTTCTTCTTATATGAGGAGTGAACAGCACTGATTACATCGAAGAATATTTAGATTAAATCGAAAATAAAATGTGACTAACTCACCCTCATAACAGCTCAATCGATTTTCTTAATTTTTACTTTATTTGATATCGTATAATCATAATGAACTCAAATATATAACCATCCTTTTCAAAATGTTTATTATATGAAAAGATTTAATTCTTTTTATTCCAGATAAAATCTCAGTACCTTTCAATTTTCAAGATCTCGAGTGATTTAAGTCAGAATGTTTCAGAGTATTATAATAGAAATGTTCTTAAAAAAAATTTTGAAGTTATTCTAAGTATGAAAATTTTCGCAGTTATATGTAAGGAAAAGTATGAAACAAAACGGTGACTCAAGAAATATCAAGATCTGGGTACAAGAACTCGAGAAATTTCAAGATGTTCAAGATCTTGGGCTCTTGGAATTTCTTCCGTTTCTTCCACTAGGGTAAATTATAAATATAAGAATAAAAGTTATTTTTCTCTAGGATAGCACATGAAAAATGATATGTGCACGACTCCTGTTAAAGATCTTGATAAATTGAAAATGAAATTATAATAACTTCTTAAAAAGTCTTTTCTGATATTTTGAAAAGGATGGTGATATATTTCAGTTGATTGTGATTATTTTGGCCAATTGCTGTAAATCAATTACATGAAATAAAATTCTAAGGAATATTTTTTGAAATAAAAGACAAACCAAGAAAATCGATTCAGCTGTTAAAGAGCGTTTTATTTTCGATCGCATTTTTGGGACACCCTGAAAATAAGATTTTTGTATCTGAATCACGTCGTTTGAAATCAAGCCATCTTTGTTCTGTTTTTTTCTTCAGATTATGAGAAAGAGACTGAAATCCTCTGATTAGAAGAATTTTTTTTCAAAAATCAACAAATTCATCCTCGTTTGTCAATTGTTGCGCCTTTGTCACTTCAATCAATTTCAACGGCACATTCCTATAGTCTTTCAAGGTTGAGGGCACATAAACAGCTGTTTTATTTTGTTGAAGAATTTGTTCAAAACTATAACCTCTCTTGAACCAAGGATGATACTTCACAGCGTCCATTCCTTCATGTGTACATCCTAAACGCCGTTTCGGATTTCTTGTTAGTAAGCCTTTAATGAAATCGGCTGCTACATTGGAAAATATTGTTGATTTAAATCGAATTGGATTTTTTAGAATAGCCTCAAATAGTTCTTCATCTGAGTCGCCATGAAATGGTGACTGAAAATAGATTTTATGAAAAACTTGAATGGCATGACACGCATAAATGTTACCTCGCCTGCCATCATTTCGTAATTTAAAATTCCCAATGCCCACCTTAAAACAAAATGAGAAACCTACTACTCTAGTAAGAGATCTATGAATTTCTTGACAGGATCCTAGACATATCCTATCCGATTCCAGGCTTTTTACAATCTTAATGAAATCAGAGACATTCGAAAGTCGCATGATTCACTACGATTCTGTTAATTTTCTAAATAAACATAAGCAAAATCCTAGTAGGATCCTAACATCTAAGATTCTTCTAGAAAGTTCTAAATGTTAGGATCCTAGTAATAAATATAAAGGAAATGCATAGGATTTTGTCCAGAGTAATATGATCGCGTACATCCGTACCAATCAATACATCTGTCATAATTCTCTTGTAATATAATTTCTGGACTCATGAACTGTGGTGTGCCACACATGGTAGCAGTTTTAGTTAATACTTGTTTTGCAAAACCAAAATCAATTAGTTTAATGTAACCTCGTCCCGTTAACATGATATTCTCTGGCTTCAAATCACGATATAAAATATTGCAACAATGTAAATATTCAAAACCAAGTATCACTTGTTGGACATAAAATCGAGCATGATCTTCTGCAATTCTATCTCGTGCTCTTATATACATGAAGAAGTCACCTAGAAATAAACTGATTGAAATAAAATCTTAGAGGTTGTAGTGGACACAAATAATTTTGCTGTCTTACCACCTGCTATAAATTCTAAAACCATATAAATATTGACCTCGTCTTTAAATGATGTTAACACTAAAACAACATTTAGATATTCTTTGTTAAAAGTTAAGAAAAATATTGAGTAAATAATAACGAACATTTTGTTAAATTTGGATGATTACAACAGTGTAAGAGATCTCGTTCTCTAATAACAAATGTTTGCGCCTTTTTCTTAATCAGTTGTTGCTTATTTGCTACTTTTAATGCACATAAATCACCATTTGGTGGTAGATTTAATAAACGTTTATTATGATACCATCGTGCGAGATACACAACACCGAAACCACCTTTTCCCAACTTTTCAATAACTTTAAAATTCAGTGTAGTCATGTATAAATCTGATTTTTCTCTCCTACTCCATTTCTTATCAAAATCTTGATCACAACATCCATCATTATCTCTACGTGTTATATCATTCGATTTTTTTCCTTCTTTTGCTTCTACTGATATCTCATTTAGTCGAGATTGATGTAATGAAAATTGATCAGTATAATAACGCTTTTGTACTTTCGCAGCTGCTCCATAATATTGCTCTTCTACGTTACCACCTCCCATAGTATACATTGAAAATGTAGTTATATTTTTTCTCTGATTAGACATATAAGTGATGTTTTTAATGAAAACTTTTATTTAGATCATTTTGTTTTTCATAATCTACATCTGAGACAAGTTTATAGTATTGAACTTAGTTTTTTCATTCGAGTTACATCGCATCATTTTATGACTGAACGAATAAAATCAACAAAATCGAAATCACAAACGAAAGAGACAATATCAGTTTTGTAAAAACAAGAAAAAGGAAGAAAGTTAGTTTTTCCAAGGCGCGAAAAGAAAAAATTTTCTTAATTGAATGATATTAATTAAGAATAATGATAATTTAGTTCCTTTTTTCTTTGTCTTCTGAAATTATGTCGTTGAAAAGAATCGCGACAACTAATATTTTGGTAATGATTATTTGAGAAAAATAAGTTCCACGCTCTTATTACATCGTGTATTTTCTGTCCTCTCATTCCTATTATTGATGTCCGATTGTATTTTTTACAGCTTCTGCAAAAATTGTACACACTTCGTTCTTGTTTTGTTTTTTACGTGTCAAATAATCATTTTAAGTCAAACAGTTGTATTTATATGTCATACACTTTTATATAACGAGTTTCATTATGTCTTTTACTAACATTCTGTCACGTACCCAACTTTTCATCTATAAAGACAAGAAGTCAATTATGCCTAAGAAAACTAATTTTTTCATCATATGGTACGGTTATATGCAATAGTTTTGAAAACAAAACAAAATGCATACAGTTAATAATAATAGAGAGAGGTGTATAACACTTGTTGTACTTTTGTTTGAATGATATTTTTAAAATGTTCTTTAGCCTCTCCACTCTCTCTCTCTCTCTCTCCTTCTCCTTCTCTTTCTCTCTTACTCGTTTCACATTATGATCTCAACAAACAATATGTACAACAGATAGAATGAATATAAACCATATACATTTTTCTTTGGTTTTTTTTTTCGGGTTGAGGGGAGGGGTTATTTGGAATAGGAGGGAGAAATTGTGCAACAAAGAGAAAAAGAAGTGCTGCTCTATTTTGAAACTAAAATAATTTCTTTTAAAAGATCAATTTTATGCAACAGTGTAATAAGTGAGCAAATGTTCAAAAAATAAAAAGGTGCAATAAATGAATTCGTACATGTTAACATGACACATACGTAATCATCATTAGATAAAAAATTTCAATTTTGAGAGGTAAAAGATTGAAATTCCGCCCATTTCTTTTTTTTTTTTTACTTATTCGAGTCCTTCATTTGTTGTACATATTTCTTACTCGCTCGTCATATCACTTTTTTTTTTCATACTGATAAATAAAATTTCACATATTTTTTTCCTCTATTTTCATTTCACAATAGATATCTTTATGGTTTATTGATTTTTGTTGTTCAACACAATCATTTGTTCTTTTCCTTGACGATGACATTCACTCATCACAATTTAATCGTCTGTTAGAATTCTATTTAACTAAAAATGGTATAACACAACACTAGTATTTTTTATTATTATTATTATTATACAATGTCATCGTTAAAAAATTTAACATTCTCTTACGTTTTGATTATTCAATTATTTCTTGTCATTTATTTCAATGGTTTCATACATGGAACCAACGATATCGAATTAACACCAGATATGTAAGTTATGATATTTTTATCTTATCAATATATAATCCACGGTTAGAGAATTATACATGTCTTACATTCAATCCGGATTTACGATTGAGATAGAGCAAGACAGAATCCATTCATCCTCCATTTTGACAGTATCCATTCAATTTTTGAAATTTTTATTTTGCAAAAAATGTGTCGAATCTTTTTATGAATACCACAAATCAGAGATCTGAATTTTGGGAGGTGGGGGAGTGTAGTCCCCTAGACTAAACTTTTTACAATTTACACTACCTCGGACAAGTTTATAAATTAAAAGTCACACTAGTTCCGGCGAAACTTTTTTTATGCTAACTAATAAGCTACCTGCACCGAAGAGTTCGAAATGGTTTAGATAATATACGAAATAGTTATAAATAGTTACAAATGGATTTATAAACGTTTATTTATAAAGTTTTGAATTATAAATAGGTTTATAAACGGTTTTTCGGTGGAAAATTGACCGAAAAAGGTCGAGAGTTATAAATATATATAAATGACCATTTTTCGGGTTTTTAGTGGCTACCTATCAAAATAACTGATAGACAGTCTTTTAAAGTTTGATTATCTGTCAATTATTGGCTTATACAATCCAAATATTTCACTTTGCTTGTAAAAAAATGTTGTCCAGTGACTTTTTCCTGAAAAAGATTGTTCGTCAGAAAAATTTTCTCACATTGATTAAAAATAATTGGAACCTTACGTGCAATGTTAAAGCAATAAGATAAGAAAAATATTTTTAACAAAAAAAATTGAAAGAGAATCATTCAGTATTAGTTCTATGAACATGTTCAATTGTATAAATCGAAATTGAAGTTCATCATGATCCTTAAGGCTAAAGGTTTTATGTAGCATCTGATATAGTTTATAGACATTTCATTGACATTAGTTCATATATTTCATAATTCTTGCGTGAAGACAATTTGCTTGTAAAGTTTAACCTATTTACGATGAAAAAGAGATATGAATAGTTTTATTATCGAGAGAAGAAGAACAAATAATTTGCGTTGATAAGGATCATCATTTTAAGATCAAAAGTGTGTAAGATTAAGAGTTGGATTAAATTTGTGTTTGAATATAAACATGAAAACAATGAAGAGACGAAAAACAAAAAAATAAAGAAATCCATAGAATTACGTATTTGAACTAGATACATTTTATATCTTAATTTTAGTCTATAAAAGTGATGTATAAATCTATTTTAAATGAATCATTTTTGCATCTAAAAATCTTAGTAGAAAAACATATGTACCATTATGTATTGTTTTTTTCTTAGGCTAAATGTGTGTGATCAAAAACAAGAGCGTACAATTACTACTTATGTACCATGTTTAAAAAGTTTTGATCATTTAGTTAAAGTATGGTCGCGTAATTGTACGGATGGAAAAAAACTTTGTCATACATATAAATATAAGTAAAGGAAAGAAACTAAAAATGAATTATTTATTTAATATTATTTATTCCATTTAGAACTGAATATTATCGTGCTCAACAGCCCGTTTTGAAACAAATTCAAACAACCGTGTATATATGTTGTCAGGGTTATACAAGAAATATCAATGATATGGGTTGTCCAATAGGTATGGCAATTTTTCTAGTAATTACTAATGAAAATATTGCGTGATACATAATAAATAATTTATTTTCATATTCAATTTTTAAACAATCTATTTTAATTTATTTTAAAATAATAGAATACAATAGAAATAATTATAGAAGACCGATGATTACAATGATAGTCTTCTTATTGTTTGAATATCTTATTTAAAAAGAATATATAAATAAAGAGACAAACTATTTCTAATCTGTGATAACTATATATGCATCTTATAAATTTTTCATTTTAATAATTTACTTAATGTAAATAGTTGATTTATATTTTCATATTATTCAAGAATGAAAATCTTAAATTATCATTGCAATTTTTGATCTCAGCTGTAAATTTAGAGATATTGGAGATGTATAAAATTTCATCCATACTCGCTCGAGTCGATCCGAAGATTGAACTCATCGCATAATGCTCGTATGAAAAAAAGAAAAAATTTTGAGTGAATTACGGATCTGAAAATTGCATCCGGACACATCTCTAGAAGAGATTATAGTTGATGGTTACAGATGTATACGATTTAAATTAGTGATATCATTAAAAACAAATTCATTCAAATATATTCATCGACCATGAAAGGTAATTTTAGACAACAATCAAATATTGGCACACGAGAAAGAGAGAGAAAAAGAACACATGGTCTATAGTTAAATGACATATTAATGAATAAAGTATACAAAGTGTATTCTCTTATAACATGATTTAAAAATGTTTTGTCGTCGATACATATATATATATATATATACACATTAAAAATATAAACCTTCAGATAACAAATTGTGTGTATAATTAATCGATCATGTATATGTCTGGACTGTTGAATATGTCATAAGATCAAACAACATACAAATCAGTATATTTTGTTTAAGATCTAGATAAAAAAATATTTTGATTATCATCATATTATTATTACAGAAGAGAAGAGAGAGAGATGTACACTCATGGAATATGAACATAACAATTAAGACTACATTTTATAAAAAAAAAAAGTGGTCTCAATTTAGAAGTCTAACATGATTCATGTTATATTTTATTTTAGATAATTGTACACGTAATATATTAAAATACAAAAATAACATTTCATAGCATAGTAATTTCATGACTGAGACGGAATAATTATAAATTGTTAAGCAATGCTATCAACTTAAACTATTTGCCAGACTGACCTATTTTTCATTGATCGTTGATTGGATTTTGTTCACAATGTCTATAAAATTTAATTATTTTTATCTTTTCTACGCCCTAAAGTCAATTTGATATAAAGTGATACAATTTTCATTCGAAAAAAAAACACGTCATATTCATTTTTATTTTTTAATAAAATTGTCTCGTAGATACGTTGTTGTTATCGTTCAGTGGTTAATTAAGCTTGTCTAACAAGACTAAATAATCACGGTTGTCGATCTAATTGTATTCTAATGGAAAATCACACTTTTTGTTGTAAATATAGAGATAACTATAAATTGTTGAAAGGCGGAAACTTATGTCTAAGTATATATGTTCATGTGAACAGTCCGGATTCAAAAAAATAAAGCTTTATGCCTTTTTGCATTTAACCTTGCCTGTGACTTGCTGCTTCCCTTTTTAATGTTCAAACCGCTTATCTTTCTTTCTCCCCAGCTTTAAATTCTACAATAATATCTAAACAACAACAACAACAGCAACAAGGAAGAGTACAAAGAAAATCATTGAGACGAACACATGTTGATGATATGGCACTGAACAGAAGTAAAATTTGTTGCTTTTGCTCATTTTCTCTTTAAAAAATCTTAAATTATGCATTTTCATAGGTCGTTTTCGATGTCAACCGGCACGTTTCGGTCCTACATGTGAATATTATTGTAATCAATGTGAATATGGTATTTGTAATTGGCGGATGCAAAGGTGTGAATGTAAAGCAGGTTACAAGGGAACATTTTGCAATGAAACATGTCAACAAGGAGAATATGGCGCTTATTGTGTGAAAAAATGTCATTGTAAATTGGACACAACAGAATCATGCAATGTGGAAGTATGTTTTTGAGTGAGTATATTAATAGTATACTATTCAAATCGAAAAAATTTTCAGAATTATGAAATTCTACAGTTCTTTCGTTTTTTGTAGAATGGCACCTGTGAATGTTCCGCTGGCTATGAAGGAGTCGAGTGTGAACGTCCGTGTTCATACAAAACATTTGGAAAAAATTGCAAAAATTCATGTTCATGTACATCAAATCAAATATGTCATCATATAACAGGCAGTTGCTATGATAAAAGTAAGTAGAAAACATAGCTAAAACTCTAAACAAACATATTTAATTATAAATTTTAGGTAATTACCCTTTGAATACACCAGTGTGGAAATCCTCTGCCGCTTAAGCATCATTTTCTTTTTCTTGCTTTTATCTGACCATACATATTTTTTTAAAGTTTCTAGTCCAATTAACACAAGTTTAAACTTTTAATGAATACATGATAAAGTACTTTTAGTTCATTTAATTCATATTTTGGAAAATATATAGTTTAATAGATTCTAATCAGCATATGTGCATGTTTTTAATAATTGTCTAAAATATTACAGCTCAAAGTAAATAACTTGATACCATGTCATTAAACAAAATATGTTGAATTATCTCAAACTTAGCTAAAATCGTAACTTTTCACTTTAAAAAAAAAATCCGTGTTAAAATAAGACGAATAACATAAGAAGCAATTTGTTTTCGGGATGTTCACTAAATTATACTGAAACACATACAAAGTAACCGATGACATTATTTTTTATTTAAGAATGTTCCCCAAATCATTCTGACTTCAATTGTCAAACAGAATGTCAATGTAAAAATGGTGCAAAATGTATTCAAAATATCTGTGACTGTACTCCTGGTTGGCATGGGAAAAACTGCGAGTTGAAATGTCCACATGGCACTTATGGCAAACGTTGTATGCAATCATGTCATTGTTTAAATAATGGTGATTGTATGTATAAAATATTGTATTAGATGAAGTTAATTGAATGCATAATATTTATTACTTAGGTGATCCTGTCTCAGGAGCGTGTGTTTGTCGTCCAGGATGGAGAGGGAAAAATTGTGATATCTTATGTCCAGCCAACAGATACGGTCATCAGTGTAACAAATGGTGCAATTGTCCAAATGGAACTCGGTGTATGTTTAATTCTTTCTCTATATCTATCTGTCTTTACATCTACATCTTCAATAGGTGCCCATGATACTGGAGAATGTGTCTGTCCGCTTGGCTTCCAGGGAGCTCAATGTAAACTACGTAAGAGAGTCTTAGAATAATATGTGATAAAAGATTTTCAATATGTTTTTTGTTTTTGCAGCATGCACTGATGGAACATATGGATCAAATTGTCGTCATTTATGTAATTGTTCTCTAAACGGAAAATGTGATCCATTTACTGGAATATGCGTTTGTTTTCCTGGTTGGAAAGGATCATCATGTTCACACCCTTGTTCAGAAGGTATAAGTATCGAATGTTTGCTTTTGAAAATATTTCTAACCCATAGATAATCTAGATCAATACGGTTCAAATTGTCGAAATAAATGTATGTGCATGAATAATGCGGTATGTAATCCGAGTAATGGTAATTGTAAGTGTTCACCGGGTTATGTTGGCAAATACTGTGACCGAGGTATAGAATTAAGAGACTTGTGCTAAAAAAAAACGAATCTGTAGGATTTGTTGATTTTAGCTTGTGAAAGAGGTTGGTACGGGCGTGAATGTGAGAATAGGTGTGATTGTATGAATGGTGCGACTTGTGATCATCAAACTGGTCAATGTATATGTGGTAAGTTACAGGTATATTACTATACAACAAAAATACTGCTTTGGTTTGTTAGGTATGGGTACAACTGGAAGAAAATGTGAACACGGTAAGAATAGATTAATTGTAAAATCAATTTTATTTTGAAAATATAAATGTCATTTATCAATTCATTATGTTAGAATGTCCTAATGGCTACTACGGAAATAATTGTTCTGAACTTTGTCAATGTAAAAATGGTGGAACATGTCATCGTGTGACAGGTTTGAATTGCTACTTTTCAAGGATCGTTTTTTACAATCTAATTATCGATTTTTATTTAAGGCTGTTGTGCTTGTCAAAATGGATATTTTGGCCCCATTTGCGAGTTTGGTAATAGTATATCTATTGTTAATTAATAAAATATATCTATTTTACACGATTCTTTCCTAGAGTGTCGACACTTTACATACGGATTTTATTGTTCACAATCGTGTAACTGTACAACGAATGCATTAAGTTGTGATACAAAATCAGGCAAATGCAATTGTAAACCAGGATATGTAGGTGATCGATGCGAGAAAAGTGCGTATCTGAATTAATTGAAACATTTTATTTCAAAAAAATATATTCACATGTTAATGTTTTAGAATGTGATAACTCAACTTGGGGTCCAATGTGCTCCTACAAATGTGATTGTGGTCAGGACAATAGATGTGAACATGACACAGGAAAGTGTCAGTGTAAAGCAGGCAAAACAGGTGTTAAATGTGACGAAGGTAAGTTGATTTTTGATGTTTCGAAACGGATGTGTCCATCATAAAAAAAACATACTTAATTCTAGACTGTCCGTTGAATACGTATGGTGTTGGTTGTCAATCATGTCATTGTCAACCATTTCACTTATGTAATTCGGTGACGGGAGATTGTGTATGTAAGGAGGGTTGGAAGGGAGAATCATGTCAATTTCAAATTTCAGCTGATGATCCTGGTATGTTTTAGAATTTGTAAACTTCTATTATTTATCTAATTTTTTTCTAAATAATTTAGGGAAACCTGAGCGTGGTGATTCGTTCAAAACAGAATGATTCTTTCGTTCTACTTTCTCTCTTCTAGTCGTTTGATTTTTAAGTGTTTTTATAAAGATTAATAAGTATCATTTTCTGAAAACATGTCCTGCTCAGAGGACATCATTTGTAATTAGAATCAAACTGTACTAGAACTATGCTGATCATCATCGATTCATCAAAATATTTTTCTTTTTTTTGTTTCGTTGAACATTACTCTATTTTTCTATTTAAAATTGTTATTCTTGTTCTATTACCAATAAATGTACTTCTAGATTTCTCAGATTCAAACATGATAATTAATTATCATACAGTACTGTGTTATGATACTCAAGTCTTTGAGTCTACATCACGCAAATATCAAATAATCTTTAAAATATTAATAAAGCGTTTTTGTTTTAATTGATTAGAGGATCTTGACATTACATTAAATAATCGGGAGAAAACTTTCCTTCACATGATGACATTATATTTCAAGCATAACTTGATTTACAACTTATTTTAATTTGAATAATCATGATATATCACAGAAGAGCAAAAAACCAAGCGAAAACACATATAAATAAAAATTATTATATTGTACTTTATTATTATTATTGCAATTCTCTAAATATTTTTTATAGTTAAACAATCTAAAGTATATATTTATTGCAGTAATTGTAAACATATAATGAATGATTTCAAAATAATGAAACACTTTTGGTTGCCGAAATAAAATATAAAAACTGTGCTTTAGTGGCAAAGATTGAAAAACTTACTGCAATTTTGTATAGGTAAGTCTAGCTCGGACGAGACAACAAACAATCTGTATGAGCAATTTAAGGAAGCCTCAGAACATGGATGGTCTGTTATGAACAACATCTGACGTTATGTAACAATATGTGATGTGTTTAAAAATATCTCTGATTAGCCCGAAAATCTTAGTTTTACATAACTCTTAAGACTTAAATGAAGCGGAATTAAGACTTTGTTCAGCAGATAAAGTCATGATCAAAATAGCGTACTCCTTGGGCCTTTATTCTTACTATGACTTCTAATTAGTCATAACAGGTCCTACTCAATGTCTTTATCATTGTCAAAATAGAGCAAAAGTTGAAGTGAAGACTGATCGGATGAGCATATTCAATGAGTATCAATGATATGCGTAATAACAAGACATGTGGGGTTCGAATGAACTATAATGCGTGTCATATCAAGGTCTAGTAAGATAATGAACGATCAAAAGATGTTCACATAGAAAATCTGCTGCTACTTATAGAACTAAAGCATACCATTAGAGGATTCAAAAATTGATTTGATTAAATCAGCGTTTGAATAACTAGATTTCCTCAACAAAATACACTTTTTCTACCGCGTACTTTTTCCAACGATGAGGTGTAAGTAAATCCATTTTTGTATAAAAAAAGCGGAATCGATGCTTGTCTGAATGTCACAAGAACAAGTTCTATATATTTCTTTTTTTCCAGTCCATTTTTATCCAGCGCCCTATACCGATTTTTGAACTTTCAGATACACTCGTTCAGTTTCATATGTCAACTTTTTGAAAAAACTATATACTGAATGCTGTTCGGTGGGTTCTACAATAGCTTCCTATTTTCGTCTTTGTATGTCAACATTTTCGATCGTTTTTCAGAAATTCACCAAAATCGTGACTTAAGAAGAAAAAATTACAGCTATTTTACTGTATAGTTCTCTCTAACCTAAACCAGTATGTTTTACAGCTTCCAAAAGACAGTTTTTTCTCAACGATTTCTAAAAACCAGTTTTGTATAAAATATTTTTGGCAAATGTATACTTTTTCGATCACTCTATGGATAATTTTTAAGGAGCACGTGGAGGCTGTGATTATGCTCAGCAAATGGAATATTTGATGTTCCACACAGTGAACATAATCAAACCTCGCCGATTGACTTATCATATAGTAATGGAAGTACCTACGTGGGAGCATCCTACTAGTAGGATGCTTTCATGCAGGTACTCCTAGCTGTGCTGCTACTTTCTTTACAAGCTATGTCAGTAAGACCTTGTATATATGACTTCATTCTTTAGGATTTTTCTAATAAGGAAACGATGTTTTAGTTTAAACAACCATCAGATTTTTACAGTGCAAGAGATTTTCTATTTTTCGTTACTATCGCCAAATTTCCAGATTTTATTTCAGCGATTGAAAATGAGAAAACTAAAAGCGTTTCATTATTTTGGAACTCCCTCTCTCTTCCAAGACAATGGTGTTTTATATTCTAATTCTTGAATGCAATTCAAATCATCCGATTTTTAATGACGAATGTTGCCGTATATTTGTAAAACTAGTTGTACCAGTCAAAATATGAAAGAAAATGGTTTAAACGATGCTTTTTTTTCTACGATGAATCTAAAATCTTCTTGCTCTATGAGTATGTAGAAGACATACAATAGTATAGCATATTGAATACAAAATACAAAAAACGAGCAACATTCTTAAACAACAACGACAGCAGCACAGAGCAAACAACATTTAAAACACAACAAAAACAAGAGAAATTATGAAAATTATTTTGTTTCACTTAAAAAATCAAACGATATTAAAATACATTTTGACCTATCCAATTATTAAAATACGTGCTGCTTCAAAATTTAAGTACATAGTATTATTGCTAAAAGTGTGAGAGAGATTAAGGACAAATAAAAATGTAGTCCCAGCTAAACAGTTAATACAAAAAAATATACAATAATTATGATCACAACTACTGTTCAGTAATCGTCATATTCGTCATTTATTGTACTCCAATTTCGATTTGATGTTTCTAATATAAAGTGAAAGAAATTTGTAATCTGAACCGGTTAGAACTGAATTTATACCTACCCATCCCGAATGTTTTTGATGGTGAATACTTTACTTTTTGAGATGATGGAGGTCGAGGAAGATCAGGACGATTAGCTATCGTCGATTGTGGACGAAACGAATAATTTCCAGTTAATGTTGAAGTGCCAAATTCTCGTTCACCTGATGTTTTATCGTGATATGGTCTTGACCTTGGAGAAGGACTACCAGGAGCACTCTTAATTAAAAATACAATTAATCTTTGGACGTATGCTATAAGTATTGCTTACCAGTGATTGACTTCGTCTCTTTTCTCTATAACTATAATTATTTTCATCTTTAGTACGGCTACGTCTTCCATCTTTTTCATGATCTGATTCATGCGCTGTTGATGTGTTAAAATTTTGATGAACATCTTTATGTTTTCGAGCTATTAATGTTTCCAAAACTGAATCATCATTATCTAAATAATTAAATCGTAGTGTATCCGTTGGAAATCGGCTATTTGCACGCCATGGTGGCTGAATATATTTTTGTTTATTGCTACTGGTACCACCAATACTTGTATTCAACAACGAGTGATTGGAATGATAATTTCGACCAGAGCTTGGGCGATTTGTATTTTGACGAGATGATAAATTTGAACGATTTTGTTTATCTTGATCGTTGTCGAGTAAGGCACTATGAGATCGATGGGTATTGTACAGTTGATTATCCTACAAAATAAAAAGAAATTTTGAAATTGTAAAAGAATTTACATGTGATCACTGCTGATTAAAATTGTGAAAGATATAAGCGCAAAACATAGCAATAACAAACTTATTTTATCGTTTTCAACGTGGTTTTTTTTCTTAAAATCACTTTCACAAGTTTGAACTCCACTGTCAACCATACATGGCTGTTGTTGTGAAGACCTTTTACTATCACTTTGTGAAACCTCCTTTAAACAAATACCTGATACTGCATGTGCAGTTGACTGTAAGAAAACAGAAATACAGCCTTAGATATTCGATATTCACTTTCATAACCTACTCGTATAGGCATTGTTTGTAATGCCTGAATATTTGATCCATAAACACGTTTCCAAATACAACTTTCGTGCGGTGATGGAGTTTGATGAGGTGTCCAGCCAAACCGTAAACATTTGGGCATCCAAAGTTGATCACTTTCGCTTAAAAACTTCCAGAACCAACTTACCTAAAAATAACGGCATATAGATTTATTTTCTTATTTCCTGTTTATCTAGAAAGTATTTTTATTACTGACTTGTGCACAACGACAAAGACTTCTTGGATCGAGAAAACTAAATATATACAATGACAGCACACGTGGAAATAAACGAGTAAAATCTTGATGTTGCGCTGGGAACTTTTTAGTTAATAAATTTCGTGTAAATGTCAATTGTTTTGGTCGACATTGAGTCATCAGTTCGTCTAGAATAAATCGTCGTTGTTCGTCTGTCCACTTATCAAACTAAATAAGACGAGAATTTATTGCAAAAATTATATAGAAACTAACGAACGCGTTACCCATTTGATAAGGAGCGTTTTTCTTTCATCAAATAGCTAAAAGGATAAGAATATAATTGATTTATTTGATGTCCACAATGATTAGTCTTTTACTTTGGCATTTGTTTCTTCATCTTGCAATGGTGTCCATGTACTATATAGACGATTCTTTCCCTTACTGTTTAATGAGCGATTATTATTGTTAATAATACTTGTATTACTTTTGTTTAAATCTGTTTCATTACGGAGAATTGATTGGTCGAGTTTTGATGTTGTATTTAATTGAGACGATGATGTATGACCATTGTGTTTCGGTGGTGGAGTCACTGAACGATATTGTTGCTGCTGTTGTGCGCTTGAAGGTCGCGGTCGTCGATTTCCAGTTATTACGTCTGGTCTGTTTTGATAATGAACATGTAACTGACTACTGCTATTGTGGCTGGCGTTATTCATTATTTCAGTCATATCAGCATCTTTGAGATACTACTCTATCAGCAGAAAAAATGTAAAATATCACGAATAGACAAACAAAGCAACAAAACCGACTAACATCTAGAAATGACACGGTTAAACCGTTAAAAACAAAGAACTGAACACTGTACATTGGAAACTTTTGATTTATGATACTAAGTGAAAAAAACACGAAGGAAATCAACGGAACTTCTTTATATTTAAGCAAGCTGGATCGAGTACAGCTCTTCAACAGTCGAGTAGCGTTGAATTATAACTATTGTCTAACCATCAACTTTTCGTCTTGAAAATCGATACAGAAAACGTATGTATACTTAGTGGGTTTGATAAGGCTTTAGAGGCAAGTAGTGCAATTATAACCAAGCTAGAATCAATATTGAGTTTGCTGCAGTTTTCATTGACAAAAATTATTACGAGTAACTAAGTGATGCTCTTCATCTCGGAAATGTATAATACTTCCATACAGTATCCAGCAGACATCCATGAAATAATCTGAAATGGTAAAAAATCCATTTGGAAACTTTCTGTCTTGAGAATGAATTGTCACTCCCAATGCATAGATCGTTTATCAACGTCATTGGGAAAATTTATACGAACAACTTCGAGAAGGTACAATATGGAATATGACCAAAATCAACGGAGACGCGCTACGATATACACATGAAAAATTCAGAAAAGAAATCACTTTGATTGTAGCACTCGTTCAAGATGGACTTTCTACATCTAATGTAGGATGATTGAATGTTTTTTAAAAGGGTCGAGATATTCTACAGCTAAAATTTCTATAAGAAAACGTTACTTTCTATGTAGAATATCTTGACGTTTTAAAAATTGAATTAAACATATGCATTGTTGAAGATGAATACTTTTTGTTTCTCATTCTTTAATTAAATTCATATCCAGCAAGGATAGCGTATCTTCTGTGTTTCCGCATCTGTTTTTGACCACATCAAATTTTTCATCTCTGGTACACAAAAGAAGTTCCAGTTTTTCATCGATTTCGTACAAATAATTCATAACCGTTTATTATGTTTCTAGTGTTTGTTCTGACGTTTATGTTTCCTTCGAATATATTTGAGGATATTTTGAAATGGTTTACAGAAAAATACAGTTTTAAAGATTCAGAAAGCAGGAAACATAGACTAGAACAAATAGCCCTTTTAAAACTACTGACAGTACAGCAGACGCTTTTTAGCGTCGTGAGATTTTTAAAATTATCCAGAAAATGTTCAAGTCCTTTGCTAAAAACTGAATTTTAAATAATCAGGTTCTTAATGTGTTATCCTCGACAATACGAAAAATGTGAAATGATCATTGAAAGACTGAAGATATAAGTTATATCTTCAATCCTTCGATGATCATTTCGTGTTTTTAAACTAGAAGACAAAACAAGTGCTGCCGAAAATGTGACGACTGAATTGGATGAAAAAGACAACGGATCAGCTGTGAAATGGATCTTATGTTTTGTCATTTATCTTCTGCTTCAGCATCACCAGTAGGGATGAACGATAACGGTAAAAAAATTATTTTTACTGAACTTCCAATTTGACCTTTTGACGTTCTATTCAGTAGCAAAGAATAACTTATAGTAGAAAATTAAAGCATTTACAAGAGCATGCACACAATGATTGTAAACAAGATTTTTTTCCTTTATCAAATCGGACGGAAACGGAGAAGATATAGAAAAATGTTTCAAATTCTATGAAGTCCAACTTTTCTCGTTATACACCAACATTTTTTCTCAAAGACGAACTGCAAAGTGGAGTAACTGTGTATGGACACTTTTTCTCCTGCTTTTCATTGAGATTAACTTGTTCTACTCTATGAATAAAAACATCAATCACACAAGCTTCGGTAATTTTCGGTCGCTTTTCTACCAAAGTTCACCGCGGTAAAATTCTGAGATTTTTTGCCGGTTTGTAATTACCGCGTAAAAACCTGATATTGCTACCGGAGCGTCGGTAACCGTAACACGTTTTTATCGTTACCGCTCATCTCTAATCACCACCATCAGATTATGAAAATCACTCAAACAATCTGACGAATATTGTCGAAAGCAAATACAAAAAGGGAAGAAATAAAAGCGACCAACTATCATTAAAATAGAACAAAGGAATGGCAATCAACAAGCATTAGTAGAAAACACAAACATTGAATCTAAAATACCATATGTAACAACATGTATTTGGCTTGTCCGCGTAAAGCTGTAAGTGCGCTACCTTATCTTTCAAACCGATCGTGCTATACTATAGCGGCAGAAGCTCATATACAGCTCGAAGACGTCTTATTTTAAAAAGCAAACATTTTTATTTAGATTAATTGTTAAGCAAATCCTAATAGTTAATTTAAGATCGTGGACACGAATGTCGAATCATTCAAATGAAGCATTTAAGTTGAAGCTTGTATCCAGGTACGAGATAAACTGTCAACATTTATCTTCTGATCAATTGAAATAAAAATGTTTATTCTTTAAAATAAGACGTCCACCAGATCTGCACTTTTGTGCAGGTTTTGTGATCTTGGGAAAATGTAGCGCACTTACGAAAAAGTTGACCGTTAGCCGGACAGGTTGTATTACAAAAAAGCTTTAATTTTTATATATATCGTTTCATATTTACTTAGAAAAACAGCATTTGAGAAACACAACTCGTCAGGAGGCAGCGAAGTATCTTCTACTGATAGATCGACTTCTCGAAGAACACTGCTGCGAACGACTATCATGAACTATTTGCAAAATCGACTTGAAACAGAAAATGAAAGGAAAAAAATTCGATTGTTAAAACAAAAAATTCAAACAAGTCTTTTCGAATTTTAATGTTCTTCAGTTATGTCTTTATTTTCTCAATATTCTAGATGTTAGTTTAGCGAGTTAAACTTGAAAACTACTCATTATGTCAACAACAACAGAAGGGAAAAGTTCTGAGTTACTTGCTGTTCGAGGTAAGTTCTGTTAGATGTTGTTGATTATTTACAGATATGAAGTAAACTTTACGAATGTTTTATAGTAATGCGTTTATCGAAACCTGCTCTGTATCAAAGCACTCCTGTCTATTGTGAATCAGCGGATTTATGTTCAACAGCTTTTAACACTGGTCAGTCATTAGATGTTTCATTGTCAAATGGTATATCTCATTCGGCATTAAGCAATATTCTCGTATTACCATATAGTTTTGGGTAGGAAACAGTGTCAACCAAAGTGGAATAATTAAATGATTGTTTTTTTAAATTTAGAAACGTTTTTTTGGGTGAAACATTTTCATCAATAGTAGCACTACATAATCAGAGTGATCAAACGTTACACGATTGCGTTCTAAAGGCAAATACAGAAGCGTTTGTATAAAGCACTTTGTTTTTAACATCGTAGTTTATTATTTCGTTTAGACGGATATTCAGACAGCTACTCAACGTATATCATTGAATACTGTTGAAAATTTAGAAAGTAAACAAGATCTTGCACCAGATCAAAGTGTTTGTCGAATTTTACAACATGAAGTTAAAGAATTAGGAAATCATTCGTAAGTTTGTGTGTATTTAGATTAAATATTTTCTCTATTTATAGATTATCTATTTAGTTTGGTGTGTACTGTAACGTGTATTGATGGCAATGGAGAGAAATGTAATCTGAAGAAAGTATTTAAATTACAGGTAACTGACAACATGCTGTCGCTTCTTCCTTTATGATCATATGTGTTTTGTTTTAAATTTTAAAGGTTGGCAAGCCAATTGAATTAAAGACGCGATTTGTTCCTGGAATTGAAGTGATACTTTTGTTCTTTTTTAAGAAAACTTTTTATTACTTTTTATGCTTTTTATTTAGCATGATGAGGTCTTTGTTGTTGCAGAAATTCAAAATCAAACACCGACGACCTTGTTTATGGTGTAGGTTTAATTTTCTATATTTGTTTGGGTTCTATGAACTCTTTATTCTTTTTCTCAAGGAGCGTCGACCTTGATCCAACACTTGCTTATACGGCGACAAATTTAAATGATTTAAATAATAAGAAACGATCAGAAAAGTAACTGATACATTATTTTTACTTATCAGTACTCAGATCGTTTTCTGTATTAAGTTCTCTTGCAGAATCATGGCGTTTTTTACGTTCAACAGAAGTACGACAATATATGTTTCACTTAAAACCAAGAGCTAATGTGTCATTTGAACAGCAACATTCGGTAACAACACTTGGAAAACTGGATATTATTTGGATTTCGGGACTAGGAGAAAAAGGAAGATTACAAACGAATCAACTACCAAAACCAGTAAGTTAGAAAGGATATAAAATAATTACTTATTATTATTATCTTCTAGCAAGCTCTTGTGGCCACAACAAATTTGAGTAATTTACCGGATTTACGATTGCAATTGGTTGAAGGCAATGGTCATTGTTCTGTTGAACAATCACAACATTTACGTGTGAATATATTAAATTGCACGGAACGCAGTATGAATTTATCATTAAGTTTTGATCATCAATTTTCAAAGAAAGAAGGTTTCTTGTGGACGGGTGTAATTAGTGGAAATGTTGGAAAATTAGATGCACATCAATTGATTGAAATTCATCTAAATCTTGTACCGTTGACAAGTGGTTTAAAGGTACTTTTCTTATATCTATTTTTGATCGAATTTTACCCATTAATGTTATTTTATTTTAGAGAATTGGTGGTTTAAAATTAACCGATAGTTATATGCGTCATACATACGATTTAGAAGAATTTCATACATTATTTGTACTGCCAAAATTTGCTGATAAAACATTTTCTGCAACAAGATCCATGTCAGATACTTCTCATGACATTTCTTTAGTGCCTTTAAACGATATTTCTGAGTCAACTAAGTTGTGAGATTTATTTATTTATTTATTTTTTTTCATTACATGTATAGCTGATTATTATGGAATTAAATTATATTTCAGTCTGTTTTATTCCTTTGTTCATCTATACACTGACTATAGTTTAAGCATATTTTTATTAACCATGTTTAGCAAACGCTAACTTTATTTATTTCATAATCTATGCACAATTTTTTCTTTTCTTTTTTAACAGATGGATTTGAATGAGAACGATAATCCTGGAAGTTTAATTGATTTATTACAATATTATGAGAAAGAAAATGCTAATAAACAGCAACAATACAAAGATGAAATTGCCTTGCTAAAAGAGCAACAACGTTTAACTAACGATGAACTAATTTATTTGAAAAATGAAAATCGTTTATTTCAAGAGAAACAAGATAAAGAGAGAACAGTTTTACAAAATGACATTATTGCACATAAAGAATATGCTCAAAATTTAGAACATCAGTTGAAACAATTACAACAAAAAGTGACAGATGCTAAAAAACAATATGAAAAAGTTTTGTTACTTAATCAACAAAAATGTGTAACGATTGCACGAACATGCGATGATTTATATCAGAAAATAAATACTTTAACAAATGAATATAATCAAATGAAAATAAAATTAATTGAAAAGGAAAAACAACATGAGTCACTATTAAATTATTCCAAATCATTACGAGAAGAGGTGAAAATGTTAAGCTTATATGAAACTCAAACAACAAAACAATTTCAATTATTAAAAAAATTAGCAAATGATGGTCAAATATGTGGTGATTTTATTGATGCGGACGACTTTCATATTAAGAAAAGAGATATTCAAGAACAAACAGATCAAATTCAAAGAATAATAACAGAACAACATCATGTTATACTAGCGAAACTAAGAGAATTGCTTGAAAGTAATAGAGAAAATGGATCGAAGTCAAAAAAATTAAAAGTATAAACTGAATGTATAGATTTTATCGATAACAATGTTCTGTCTGAATATTGTTCATGTATTTTATTCTTTTTCTATCGTTATTTAGTAGCTTACGTTGCTTACTTTCCTCGTCGGTCTTTTTCTTGTGTTTAGTGGTGTAAGTCACTCCACCCCCACCACGACTATGACTTACTGTAGGAAGCAAAAGCTGCATTAGATAACAAAGTTACAAAGATGTTCTTTCATTCATGCCATTGTCCCTTAACTTGTACTTTTATTGAAAGTTCCTGTGATATTAAAAACTTTAGTTTTTTATCACTGAGGTTTTTAGTCGGAGTTTTTTTACTAGTATGGTGCAATATTTGTTGTCTTTAACAACAAAAAAAATCTCTCCTTTTCTTGATTGATTTTTGTCGGATATTTTCCTATTCTTGTCTATTTTATAAATGATAGTTTTCCTATTCTGATAACTGTTTTTGTGCTAAAGATATTCCTCCTTATTCACTCATCTATTTGCTTTTATCTTGGTTTATCAAAAGGTGAGAACACATTGTTTTGCTATGTTGGTTTTTAAAAAATTGAGAAAGATTAATAAACTATGTCTACTTTTAATGAGTTTATTTTAGGAGGACTTGATTTTCTGAACGACTCTTGATGAGCAACTTCGTTCAGAGATGTTTACAATCGAGACAGAACAAAATTCAGCAATGCAGGATAGTAAATGAAGGAGAAAAACGGCTCTCGACATCGGACATCACTCAATTTATTTTCTTAACCTATGTATCGTTACAATTTTAGCTTTAATTATCTAACCTGTTTAGCTAGCTTTTAAGTAAGTACTGTACACAATTGCATTTTAAAGCATAACGTATGAAAAATAAGGATGCACTCGGTACCCGAATGTTTAGTCTCGAAATTTTCGGTCTCTAAAAGTCTCTAGTCTCGATATAAAATTAGAATATCTGACAACCATGACAGCACAATTGATTGTAAAACAGAGATGTGCGCTGCCGCGTCGATTCATCGCCATATTTATTTGTAATGACTGTTTTGTATTTCGTTTCCTGTTTTTCCACTCTTTGGTTTAAAATTCTTCAGTACATATGAGCCAAAAGAGCGAGAGAAACTGCACAAAATACGCTTGTTTTCTCAAATTAAAACTAAACTCTACTACTTCTTATTGTACCATCTTGAAGTTCGTGTGATATTAAAAACTTTAGTTTTTTATCACTGAGGTTTTTAGTCGAAGTTTTTTTACTAGTATGGTGCAAATATTTGTTGTACAACAAAAAAGAAAATTGAAAACGAAAAAAGTCTCGAAAATAGAGCGAGGTCAATTACTTATTAGTAACATGTCATTAGTAATGTAATTTCAACACTGAATCGTAGAGAACTGGTTTAATGCATCAATAACTTTATGTTTATATACAGTTCAAGAATAATATCAGATATTTAACTGACTGGCACAAAAGAAAGAAAAAACCAAACAAATGTCAAAAAATATAGAGTTACATGTTCTGCGCATAAAAGATAATATAAGTTACACCGTCTAGTAGAGCGCGAAATTCTGCATTGTTTGGTCTAGAAATTAATGATTTGAACTTTGAATTTTATACTGAAATAGTCAAAACATTTTTTTAGAAATAGAAACTTCGGTGGACTTGGAAGTTTATGTATTAAAGTCACTAGCAATCGAATAAATTAACTTCAAGTAAACTCTTTTGTAAAGCATGAAATTCTTCACCATTTGACGTTAATAGAGTTATTTCAATTTTTTTGTACTCATTATAAACAATTAAAACAAGAGAGCAGTTTGCACTTTAAATATGTGTGGTGCAGTTAAAAAATTTGGAGCTTTTCTTGCTAGAGTTACTGCATCAAACATCAAAGATGAATCTTAAAAATAAATATACAATCTACAAGAGCTAATATCCACTAATACACTAGTACGCTGACAGCTGAAAATAAAAGTAAAAGGAAGACTCCTAAAGATTCAATCTAAAAAGATAAGGATTGTAATAAATATACTCAAACAGTTTTTCTTGAGTTTTGTAAGTTATACAATCAACTATGGCTCATAGGTTTGTTGTACTGATCAAAAAAGAAGGGATTTACCATGAATTATAAGTATGGACAATAAATTACTTAGTTAATCGTAAACTTGTTCTTGATATACATCGATGATATAAGTAATGATTTAATGTCGGATGTTCATATGCTCATGGATGTTATCTTGTTGTATTACAACTTGGTAGGACAATCTGATACTGTTTCTATACATCTGTAGGTTTGATTCTATTAATCTACAGCCCCGCTAACCTTCATTTTGCATGTCCATTTAACATTGGTTTTTTACTCTGTTGTTAATGAGAGAAAGGTGCTAGTCGCGTGAGTCCACAAATCCGAGTTCTGTTTCTTTTTTATGTAAACAGTAAGTTATTCATTTTTGATTATGAAAAATAATATGCTGTAGAAGATAGAGTAAAGTGTCTAAAGTCTTCCAATCTGATGAGGTAAGCATAAAGTTTCCATCTGAACTCCTAAAACTGCGGTCTCTGGAAAACCCATGTCTCAGAAAACCAAGTCCCCCGTTCGATCCACTAATTCTTCGCAAATAACTCTGAAGGATTCTCCTAAACGGCTAAAAAATGCTCGTTTATCTTTGGTTAGCTCTTTCTTTGCGTCTTTTCTCCACCTCTGAAAATTTCTTTCGCTTGCTTATTATCCCTATCCTTATACCTTTGGAATGCTTGGTTGCGCTTTCGAACTGCATGGTAATAACTTCGACTTTGCTTGAGTAGTATAGATTCAGATTTTATTTCTTTCCAGGGCACACAATTGTCTAGACAATTTGCTATACGACTGGACCAAAGGTTTAGTGCTTCAGTACATGTTGCAGTGTCATGAAAGTCAGGATCAATGTTCGATAATATTCTACTAATAAGGTAAGGTTCGCAGGTATTAGTCTGAGATTTTAATGGCATATAAGCTATGTTGTTAGAATCACTATGTTGATTCCGAATCTAATATTTTTATCGATCACCATTCATTCGTTCGAGCTGCAGATACCTTTCATCTCACGAATAGCCCTTTTTCCTAAAGTCATAGTTTTTGATAGAAGCATTAGAAAAAACTTGGCCAAGATCTGATTGTGTAGATAACTGATTCTCTATAAAATTATATATATTTCAAATATAGTTGAAATTATGATTTTTGGTAAAATCGAGAAAAGAAAAAAGATTCTCTCTCAATCTTTTGTGATTAGCCAGTCATAGTTTTGATAGAAACATTAGAAAAAAACTTGGTCAATATCTAGTTTTGTAAATACACTAATTCTCCATATTTTGCAAATATAGTTAAGAGTTATGAGTTTTCAAAAAATTGACTTTTAAGTATTGGAGAACACCTGTGACACTTGAAAGTTATCCATTTTCAGTCACTGAAACTACCCTACCTTTTAGTGAAACTTTAGTTATAAACTTATCCTTGCTTATGTTTCAATGAATTTTTGTACATAGGAGTGGATGTATATTAGGAATATACTGACTAAATTACAACGTCTTCGTTTATTGCGTTCGAAAAATATAAAAATATAATGGTTGGCAGAAGATTTTTGCAGTACGTTAAAATATGCAAAAAATCACTAGAAATGACCTAATGTTCGAAGGCATAATTCACTTTTCTCTAAACTCGTTTTATATATGCAGCTCTAAGTTTGCGTACAGATACTAGTGGAGGTAGACTATTCATGCTATTAAAATCAAAATGATCGGTGATGGCTTTGCACAAAAAAATAAACTAAAGAAGAACTTGAACTTACCTGATATGAAAGTGACTGACTGCGTTGTTGTTTTGTAAGTCTACGACGATAACAATATTTTGCACCACGTGTACGTGTTTTTTAACTGATCTCCTA